AGCACTTTACACATGATATCCAAAACCTGAGCTTTAACTGCAAAGATTAAAAAATATATGTATAGATATCTTTCCTGGAAAAAGTGCAAAAGTGCTTTCTGTTTATGTTTACAATATTGTGTAATGTGATCTTGAATCTTATCACTATTGCCCAGCACCAACTTAACACTTACAAGGAGAAGTGACATATTCTTGGTTGCTTTTGCAAACAAAGGTGTTTTTAACGGTTTATACAGTAGCGGCTTTATTACATGATTCTTCACAGATTTAAATAAAATATGAACATAAAATGCTGCCATTTCAGTACCATTTCAGTTACAGGTACGTGTCCAAACTCATGTTGATTACTGCAGGATCTCAAATTCTCAGGTTTTTTCCTTCAATTTTACTTGTAGCTTAAGTTGGACTTCTATACATCAGATTAATAATCTTTCTGACTTCTAAAAACATCAACATATTTTTGTAAAACACATGAAAATTTACAAGAAAAGGACAATGGAATACATTCTGTCAAATTATTAGAGAATCAAACCAACCATCAGAAAACGTAGCCAAGTGTTTCAGTACACTGGGCTACATTTCCTGATGGGTGGTCTGATTCTCTTAGAATTTCATAGAAAATACTCCATTTAGGGGCAGGCAATATGATGACATTTTATTGTTATTGCGATACATTTTGTTACAGTCATAATATGCTTTAATGAGCATATTGTGGATATCATCAGTACTTAAAGAACACTGATAAACTGCATGCTTGATTACAAAGAGAGCATATTCAATCCTGTTTAACTGGATTAAATGCAGGACAACATGTGAACAAAAAACACTGTATTCATAGTTCTTGATGGCTGCTTTTAACTCTGGAACTACTACCACCTTGTGTTGTTGTGTCAGAATATTGTGATACATGATTTGTGATTGTGTATTGTGCAATTTTCTAGAAGTATCACGTGCGATATGATATTTTTGCCATATTGCCACTACTACCATTCTCTCTCTATTCCAAAGCTGCCCAACATTTTTGCCAGTTTAAGCGTGGTTATTTTCTAAAGTGATTTCTACATCCTTGTAGGATCCTGTTCATGATTGTGATGAGGGTAGTTTTAAGATTGCCAGTTTGACCATAACTAGGATCAAGTCAGCTGTGCATTTGTTAAAAGCTGTGAGTTTTCCATTATTGCTAAACTGCTTCTTAGATGTGAAGCACCTCATAGGCCTTCCTCACTTATTCACATTTAGTAGGCTAAAGATTCTCCACAAGGAAAAGAAGTAGCTTTTGGTGCTTTATAACAGTGACGCTTCACGTCAGCGACACCAGGAGTAGTTGTTACAGCATCACTACCCATTTACAATTCGTAAAATACTTGAATGACTCATCGATAGGGTTGGGAGGTCTCTCTTATTTAATACCCTCAAACGATCTCCAAATATAACCACAGTATACAGTATAGCTACTGTTCCCATTAGCATAGCATAGCTATCATGATAACAGCTATGCCCACTACAAAATGTGTTCGATTCTGGCTAACTGAAGTTAAGTGGCTAACTTGGTTGGCATGGCAACAACAAAGCTGTGCTCCAGATACAGGGACTTTTTCGCAAATGTCACATGAATTAGAATCTCCAAAAACATCTCAAAAGAAGCTCAAACTGGGCTACAAACATTCACATTATATGCAGAAGAAAGTTCCAGATGAATGATGCCTTAAAGTGTCTCTGTACTACTTTCTCTATTCCAAATTGGAAAATATCCTGTGCAGTGCCACTGTTAAGAAGTTCTGTGAAGATTGAAGGATGTCTCACTAGCACTTAATATTCGGCTTGTTTGTTTTTTGTTTCTTTGATGTTTATTTGCATCATGTTCGGTCTGTTACGGCCTTATGGCGTTAAGGAGTAAATATAAACATGTTCTGTGGTGTATGCAGTTCTTAGCCATTACTAAGCTATTACAATGCTTAGTTTTTCTGAAGTTTTTCCTGACTCTGATTTTTTCCCCTCTTTCAATTAGTGCCACCTATAGGTGAACTCACATACCACCAATCAATGGGCACCTCTAAAACAGTGGTTTTCAACCTGTGGGCTGGTGGTATTGCTAGGGGGCTGTGGCCAGTTTGTAACCACATTTTTTAATTTGATTTTTTTTTTTTTTTAATTTTACCATATGTGGACATTTAACCAATTTTTTTTATTTGAAAATATGACTACTTTAAAATCTGTACATTTTCACTGCAACGCAAAGAAGAACACTTCATTTTTTGTTCTTATGGAGTTCCTCCATCATGGATAAATGGTTTGAAATGGACCACCTACAAGTGAAACAGCCCCCATAGCTATCTTAGACTGAGCCAAGAAAACCGAAACAAAGAAAAATGCAGCAGTGAGCAGAGTGAGCCTTATCACATTGAAACAAAAAGTAGCAAACAGGCAGACAGAATGTCTTCAGGTGACAAAGATCTTCTTTACTCCTCACAAAACGGGAAAACTATCAGACAGAGCGCAAACAAAAAAAAGGATGGGAACCACTGCTCTAAAATATAAATGAGTGAAATGTTTTCAGACGCAAAACAGAAATGTGATGTCATAATTTTGAAATACCATCATCATTTTTAAATACTACGGTTACTTATTACCATTATACCTCACAACCCTGTTTACCAATAAGTTAATTTACTCTTTCCAATAATCAATGCCATGATTCAACACTCCGCTGCACAAGCACTAAACACATTCCAAATTGATGCTTTCAGGCACGAGAGGCTTTGGCAAAGAAAAAGTATGCAAGGATTGAAAACTGGAATTCATAATGTACTATAAACAAACATTGTTTTGACTAAAAAGGGTAACTGGCCACAGTACAACACATTTGACTGGACACAAGGGAGAAAAAGTATGAAAATTAGTTTGTGAAGTTGTTGAGAGATGGCACAATTGTAAACACATGCAAACCACTGGGAGAAGGCTCAAGAACAGAATGCTCTCATTACAGTTTGCTATATAAGTACATAAAAAACATACAGGCTTGAGACAACGTGTAACAGAAATAAGAGAATGAATGCTCTGCTTTTAATGCCTGAATATTAGCTGATTCTCCTGCTGTAGCTACAGAAATACAGGGCATGCCAGTGATAAAGTTGTGATACAGTTTTAAAACATCAAATACTGTTCTGGATCTTTATTTTCATGTTATATCATTATATATTAACCTTGGAGCGATGCTTGATGTTATCAAATATTGTAATCATTTAAAAAAGCACCAATATTATGCAAATTTTTGTTTGTTCATTTTTACGCTTTCATGTGCCATTTTTTTATTGCTTCATCTTTAACTGTTCTCTTTGTACAATGATTCTAATCTACAGTTAGTTCACTTGGAAAGATTACAACATAGACTGCAATGAATGCAACTGAACAAGCAAATGAAGCAAATGAAGCAAAACCTCCAGTACATATGATATACTCTTTAGTAGACAGTAAAATGGACAAGCTTGTCCGGAAGAAGGGTGCCAAGACGCCAGTTTGGCAAAATTTTGGTTTCCATCCAAACAAAAAAACAAAACACTGGATGTTAACAGTGTTAACAGTTTTGCTGTCTGTTTTATTACATAACCATCATGGTAAATACAAGCTATACTCTGTAACTCAATCTGAATCATGATTATATCATTTACCTTAATAATTCTGCAGGCAATAATCATTTGTTTAGAAGTACATTATCGTCCAAGCTTATGTAATACTATAAAATGCAGTGGAGTAACTCCAGAGACAGAGCTGTTAAAAATCAGTCATTCAGCAATTGTTCTGCCATAAAAGCATTTCAATTATTACAAAACTACAAAACATAAGCTATATTAACTGTAGGGGAGCGGGAAAAAATCGATTCTTAGATGCATCGCGATGCAGACATGGACGATTCTGAATCGATTCATAAATGTCAAAAATCGATTTTCTGAATATTTAATTTATAACGTAATGTTGACGGAACGCAAAGGGCGGAACAGTCTGGACAGTCTGTGGCGGCACATAACAAAAACACAACTGGATGAGTGAGAAATCCGACCGACAGCATCTACATTAAAAGCCAGGTTAGGTCAGGAGTCACAACCCAAATGATAAGAAGAGCCATTTTGACCTTTCAACAAAAATCAAGCCACCTTGGGAGCCACAACATTTATGTCCAGTATGTGATAATGTGCTAGTTTAGGCTAAAAAAATATAAACGAAAATGCAGACTTACTCTGCTCTGCTTTAAGCTTCAGCTATAGCCGCTTTTCTTCCATCTCTGCCAGAAAACTTTTCCTCAAAAGTTGAATAGTTTCTTGTAAAATGTCTCTCAGCTTTCAGCTGTTTTACGAGGCTGAAGTCACTTCTCACTCGCCAGCCTCTTGCTGAACTTTCCCGTTCCACCTTAAATTCAGACTGAGGCGCCGAATGTAAAAGCGGCACCATTCAAGGTGGAACGGGAAAATTAGAGAAGCGACTTCATCTTCGCAACTTTTTAGTTAGTGTTTGACAGTCTCTCTTTGCATATTTAACGTACCAGAAAACCAACAGCGCTGCTTATAAATGCGAATAAGTCCATTCATCTCCAAATGTTTGTCTGTCTTTCTCTTTTCCTTTTTCTTTCGCTACTAGCCAGGTGAAACCTCGTTGCTAGGTGATCTGCAGTCTTTCGTGCCCCCCTGATCACACCCCGATACTGGACATAATATCGGTCATTATTGATCATTACAAATACTTTGTTTTAAAACTACAAAGTCCTCAGAGAGTAAGAAAATAGAAATCATGTATAGAAAAAAAAAGATGCATCGATAATCGTTTTATAATCGCATTGCAGCCCTCTGAATCGTAATCGAATCAAATCGTGAGATGCCTAGAGATTCCCACCCCTAATCAACTGCATTGCTAATTAAAGATATGCAAGTACACAAGAGGGTTAAAACGAATGCACTGGCTTCTCTAACTGAACTGCTTAAACTTGCTCTACGTTGCATCAGTTTTACCTCCTGAAACTGGAGCATCCATGAACACTGCGCCCATCTTTTCTGCAGCCACGGCCATTTCCTTAGAGACGGCGGGGTCTATGGTGCTGGAGTCAATGAGCAGTGTGCCCTTCTTAACTTTCCTGAGAAAAAACAGGAGATGAAAGTTAGCACCATTACAGTCGCAGAAAAGCTGGAACATTTATACAATAGCATCACCCATTATGTAAAAGGCACCGCTGTATCAAAGGCATGAAGAACATAAAACATTTGAGTTTAGATATTTGTATATTCAAATAACCACATCCAAACCTAGCACTAACACCTGAAGTATCTACTGACTGGCAGATATTAACAGCCCACATTTTAATCTGTATCAGTGCCAATAATTACCGACTCATCGTCAAGATTCAAACCTACGATCTTTCCATGAAACCAGATATGGTCTTATATACCAGAACAAGACCTTGTATCGCGATTTTTATCTTTTTTTCAGAATCTAAATATGCCAGTTCTTTTTTACAATGTGTTAAGAAGTCATGATGAACAGACCAATAGAAATGCCAAAAAAAAAATAAAATCACTTTAACGCATTTTCCTATTTCAACTCTTCAAACTATCCATAGTTCCATCCTGAAGACCAGCTGTTTGCATGTTGTTGCTATAACTCTAGGACTGTAGCCCTCTCATTCAAACACAGTTTTAAAATGGCAAGTTCCATTGATGGCTTTCTTAATTCAACAAAAGTTGTTTCCAGCTACTATGATGCCATGAATTTGTTTATAACCACAGTACACCAATTAATTTTCAAGCAAAACATATCAAGGACGCTTGCAATACCAGTAATTCATCAGACAACGCTTGGCAAGGCTAACAAGAGACCTAGGATTAATCCAACAAGCAGCAAACTAACAAAAGAAATACAAAAGCAGAAAGCTCTAGTTCCCTTTGAAACAAGATGTGACTTAGCGGTATGAGAACAAAAGGGCTACATTCGCAGAGGCGTTGAAACAGGCAGTGACTGTTGCTCGCACTGGACGTCAGTAATAAAAATGGGAAACTATGTTCATCTTATTTTCATGTTCACACTGCGTTTCCACTGTTTTTAAGTGAACTCTGCATTAACAAGATGAAAATAATGTTAATGTTAAGATTTAAAAAAAAAAAACTATAAATACTGTCTGAAGGTAAGCTTAGCCTTGCTGCTATACACAAAGACATCTTAATCCAAAACATGTGGTCTTGATAACACAGCAACAGTCAGAGTTCAGTTTAGAGATCTGACTCAGGTAGAAATAAACTCCTTTATTCTAAGCCTCTATTACTCTGAGTCAGTAATTCATACAATTATTCTGAGTGTTACCTTCAAAATGAGACCAAGATCATGACTGTAGCCCAAAGTATGTGGCAACAGTTCAAGAGTTAATATCTAATTCGCTTCGTCTATTAGCAGTCTTGGAGATAGGGCTGTACGATTAATCGCTTTTATATCAAAATCCCTATTTGAAAATCACAAGAGCTGCAATGTAAATTTTATCCTACATTATTCAACATTTTAAAAAGGGGAAATTTAGCCTAAACAGAGCTTTCAGGGCATTCTGGCAAACTACTTAGTATTCAACCCCTTGGAAAAAATTGATTTGCGGGTCTTCTTGAGAAAAAAGGCTTGGAGCCTTATTTATAGATAACACTTGCAAGACAATTTTAGAAACATTACAAACATTACAAATCTCCCCATATCATTCAGCCCTACTTGGAGACTGTATGGCAAACCACCAGCCAACTAACTTAGTCCACTACAGATTGTAGGTTAACAACAACGCAAAATGTTTATGAAGGCCAGTTGGTATCACTCAGACTTACTTGAGTATACCATTGGGTCCAGTGTAAACTTCAATGACATTAGGACTTGATGGAAGCATAGTTATGATGCGGTCAGCCTTCTCTGCTACCTCAGCTGGAGAATCCAGAATCTGTAAATGGAAACATATTTATGATACAGGCTTGTGTGTTTATCAAAGTAGTTACAATCTTATCTGAATAGAAAGGTTTGTTAACTACTACAATCTGATGGTACTTTTCTTTGCCTATGTATGCCCTCTTACAGAACCATACATGAGTTTGAGATAGTGATGAACTGTACTAGGGCACTCCAGGGAACTGTCCAAACTCTTCCTTTTTTACCCTCTACACATCAGACTTCCAGTACAACATTAGCTCATGCCACTTGTAGAGGTTCTTTAATGATTCCTCCAATGTAAAGTGCACAGACAATGGGGATAAGACTACAGAAGGCTGGTGGAGAACTTTTTCTTGTTGCACACCTGTAACTTAACACCAGCAAGACAAAAGAACTGGTGGTGGATTTCTAGGTTAGGAGACCTCTAAAACAAATCTCCTAGACTGTGAAACAGACTGGACTGGACTGATAATACAGATGCGTTGTGCAGGAAAAGTATTAGGGCTGTAAGGCATTAGCTGAGGTGAAATTTTGAACAGATGTTTCCTCATAATCACTGACGGATCTGCTTCACAATACTGAATGTTTTTGCACACATTAATGTTTTTCACATTAAACCAATATCCCAAACATGTGAAAGTTTGTCTTAGGAACTTTGTCTTATTTGTGATTGATGTCTCTGCACTGCATGTGTAATCAGGGGTTAAACAGGCATGGGGGAGCCTACTTGTTTCACAGGTGTCAACAATCCACAAATAATATTGTTCAATGTACGCTCCCAGGCAAAAAACGGGCCAAGCCCAAAATGGTAAAATATTAAGCTTTTAAGGGTCTTAACAACAAATCATTAAACAAATTGATGAAATAACTTAATACGGGATAGCTTTTCCCTTTGATTTCTTTAAATGTTAAAGTTTTGTGTTATATGTATTGCAGACAGCCTTTTACAAAAAAAGAAGAGTCTGTATTTTTCCACTCAGCACTGACAGCTTCAAACAGATTAAAAACACTGCCAAGCAAGTATGTGTTTAATGTGAGAGCAAATATGCCCTGTAGGGTTTAAATCTGGACTCTGATCAGCCCAAAACCATCAGTAAAAAACATTTTATTTTGAGCTTGGCCCATTTTTTTGCCCAAGAGTGCATACAATACTATGTTAACCAATACTGCACAGAACTGTACTATATTATACTGTACTAAAATGTACTACACGGCACTGTGCTACACTATACTGTACTGAGCTATGCTGTATTGTACTGTATTATACTGTGTGGTACCGTACTGTATTGTATTGTACTATATTATATTGTACGATACTATACTGTGCTTTATAGAGAGATATTTTGAGAGTTAATAAGTGGCATTCCAAATGCTTTCTACACTACGATTTAAACTAAAATGAAACTAAATCAAAATAACAGACCTCAGTATCTCTTGACCTTTTCACTTATTAAAAGCTAGGTCAAGCACATGCCAAAATGTAATTTAAATGTGAACCTCTTCTTAAGTCTGAGTAGGTAAACCTGCCTGCACTAAACACATGCAACATTGCAATGAGTGATAATGAGGATTCTCATGTCTATTTATGTGCGAGTGCAGTACTTGAAAGGTTATTATTAAAGCAGGCAGGTCTCATACTGTGTACTGTATCCTCTCATTAGCCTATCTAATAATGGTCTGTGTAACACACTCTCCTGTAAGCCAAACCGGGGGTCCAAACTGAACTCTGATTGAAAACAGTCTGAACTGCCAAAGCAGAATGAATTACACCAGTACAGAGCCAGTGACTCACTTGCATTACCATTACACACACACAGACACACACACACAAATTTGCAATAATTACAACCAAAACAGATCTGGAATTTTTTTTTTTGTTAAGGTACCATGTAACAGGATAGAGTTATTGCACATATATTTTATATATATTGCACATACACTGCATATGTACATTCCTGGGCAAAAAAATATAATGGTTTTTACTGATTGTTTAGAGCTTGTCACGAGTCCAAACTTAAACCCGATAGAGAATATTTGGTCTCACATTAAACACAAACTAACTCAAAAAAGTTTTTCAACTGTTTGAACTTCAACATTTATAGAAAACAAATGGAAAAGCTATCCCATAATTCGTTACTTTTTTTGGTTTGTTTAATGATTTGTTGTTAAGACCATTAAAAACTTAATATTTTGCCATTTTGGGCTTGGCCCACTTTTTTGTCCAGGAGCATATAAAGTTATACAGGGAGTTCTCAGCACTGATGTCATAAATACATAATTAAAATGTATAACCAACCTGTGTCTGTCTTATTGACTTAACAAATTCAATTATTAAATGTGCCACACAAAAACTGTGTGTCATCCAAAAAGGATGTGCCACTTCACAGTGGCAAAATATGAACAAACTCGGGGGTGAGGGGCTGGGTCCAAGAATGTTTAATCTGTTTAGAGGTTACGGTTTTATAGGCCAGCTTGGTTTATTACATCAAATAATTAAATCGATATCACAAATTTTGTTTCGAAACAATTTACATTTCCACTAAACTACAGTACTGGAAGTCAGTATTATTTTCCACTCGCACCATTTGCTGTTTTTATGCATATAATGTGTTGTGTTCATCTGCTAGAGTAGCAATAACATTCCCCAGCCAGGGATAATATATATTTTCGAAGGTACTATGCAGCCTCTTTTACCTGTGCTCCTGAGTCTTGTAGCTCTTTACAGGACTCTGGGAAAGCATCCGTGGCAATGACTGGATATCCATTCTTCAGCAAGTTCTTCGCCATGGGTGTACCCATATTACCCAGGCCAATGAAACCCACTGGAGTTTTAGAGGCCATCGTTCTACAGGATACTTTGAAACAAAAGAAGAGAAATTCAGCGACAAAGGGAAACAAATCAGAGCTTATTATTAAGCTTAAAGTAAGGTGTACACAAAAATTAACCATTTAATTATAGCAATTACAATTTAAAGAAACAAATCACAGTGTCACTCTTCTTTTTCCACGGAGCACTAAGAACTGTGTCTATTTAGATAAGATTGCCATGCACAATGCCAAATGTCGGCTGGAGTGCTGTAAAGCATACTGACATTGGAATCTGGAGCAGTCGTAATGTGTTCTCTGGACTGATGAATCATGATTCTGGCAGTCTGACATAAATCTGGGTTTGGTGGATGTCAGGGAAACACTACCTGTCACTGAAGGGACAGCGCAAACGATAAAGTTTGGTGAAGAGTGAATAACGGTCTGGAGAACTGTGTGCTTTACTAATGCTCTTGTGGCTGAATGGAAGTAACTCCTCACAGCCACAATAAAGTTACAAAGTAATGAAAAGCCTTCTCAAGCATAATTGGTTTAGCCCCCTTTTACCCTGTTCTTCACTAGTCAGGACTCCCACAGGACAACCACAGAGTAGGTATTATTTAGGTGGTGGATCACTCTCAGCACTGAAGGGACACTGACATGGCGGCGGCGTGTTAGTGTGTGTTGTGCTGGTATGAGTTTATGAGACACAGCAGTGCTGCTGGAGTTTTTAAATACCTCAGTGTCAATGCTGGACTTAGAATAGTCCACCAACCAAATATACCCAGCCAGCAGCATCCTGTGACCACTGATGAAGGACTAGAGGATGACCAACACAAACTGTGCAGCAACAGATGAGCTACTGTCTCTGACTTTACATCTACACGGTGGACCAACAATGCAGGAGTGTCTAATAGAGTGGACAGTGAGTGGACACAGTGTTTAAAAACCTCCAGCAGCACTGCTGTGTCTGATCCACTCAGACCAGCACAACACACACTAACACACACTAACACACCACCACCACATCAATGTCACTGCTGTGCTAAGAATGAACCACCATCCAAATAATACCTGCTCTGTGGTGGTCCTGTGGGGTCCTGACTATTGTAGAACAGGGGAAAAGGGGGACAATGTTTGCAGAGAAACAGATGAATTACAGTCTTTAATTGTAGAGCTACAACGTGCACTTATATAGTAAGTGGAGCTGATAAAGTGGACAATGAGCACAGAAACAAGAAGGTAGTTTTGATGTTATGGCTGATTGGTGTATATTTTATATTAAGATTCAATTGTGTATGTAAGGATCGCATCATTGCCTGTATCAGTTACAGTTATGTAGTTTTGATCAAGATGTTTAAAATGATCTCTGCACCTACAATTTCATATTTCAAAGCTGTCTACACTTTTCATAGCTTGAGGTCTGGAATTTTACTTGTGTTACTGAAAGCACTATGCAAAGGCACAGCAACTGTAAAAAAAAAATGCAAAATGCAGCAAAATGTTACAGTATTTTGTAAAGTGGAAGCACTTTTTGAACTTTTGTTCTTGCTCAGGTTCTCCAGTTTGTTTGAGGTGAACTTTTGTTGGAACAGTTGTAGTAAAGATACATTTTAGTGTAATTTTTTGATGAACTAGAATCTTGTCACTACTGCAAACAAGTGGCACTTCAAAAATGTCTTCACTTCAACAACAACAGAACACGATCCCGTCGCTGTTTATCACACTGTCTTACAACAAATGACAGACAGAAATATTCTGACTGGCAAGAATTTTGGTTTAGCGGCCACGCTAGTAGCTCAAACTGAGAGAACGACTGCCGTCTGTCTCACACATGACTAACAACGTTTTCCAACGATTTAAACGCCGCTTTTTCTGAATGGCCTGATAAATTAGAACTGTGACAAAAATACTTTACCCAGCATGAGGTCGACATAACTGTTACATTTCTTTAAAACACTCCGAGAACCTCTGAGAAAGGCAGCCATGCTTCTCTCCTCCCCTCGACCTCAGCGCTGCAGCCTGCAGGTCAGGAAGTGCGAGGGAGGCGGATATGATCGACACGGACATTCATCCAATCACAGACATCTCCCCCAAGCAACCACCAATCATATTCAGGGGCGTGCAGCCACTGTTTACAGTGATTTAATTGAGTTTGTGAAAGACTGGATTAAAGCAGGCATAAAAGAAGACTGTAATGTCTGTGGATACATTTCCTTCACCGGGAAAAAACATCAAAATATCTATTTTGTTGAGGGTCAGTGTCAAGCTCTAGGGAATGAAGCCACGTTGAATGGAACTGAGGAGATTCCTTGAAACATACGTGCATATCCAAGTTCTCTAGAATTAGATGGTGCTTTTCTTTTCTTTTTTATTCTTCTTTTCTTTTGTTTTTGTTCCTTTTTCTTTTCTTTTCTTTCCTGAGAAAGTCAGACCTCCTCTTCATATTTTCAAATTTTTTGTATCTAAGATTAATTTTATATACTGAAGCTGGTGCTTTGATATATACAAATCGTTCTGCGATGTATTTTGGCTGTCTTGCGTATACAGCATGTTTAAATGATGTTCAAGTCAGCGGACTGTGAGGGTCATTCTAAAAGCTTCATATTGCATTTTTAAAGTAGTTCACGGTGGATTTTGAGGTATGTTTAGTCCTGTTGCAAAGCCAGCCTGTTTTCAGCTTTGGTTTCTTAACTGACATTGTGTCACATTTGCTTCCAGAATTTGATGATATTTAGTGGAATCTATTATTCTATCTACCTGTGTCACTGCCTGCCACACAAACGCAAAGCTTTCTGTTCAGCATATGAACTATCCAAGGGTTTGCTTGGTCTTCTACATTTTGCCCAGACTTCCAGTTCCCCTTAACTGCCATTTCCTAATGACATTTTGAACAGTGGAAATTTCAAGCTGGAAGTGCTTTGACATCCTTTTGCCTGCTTTGTAGGCTTCAGTTCGCTTCGTTTTCCGATCCTCACCCAGCTACTTAGTGGATCCCATGGTTGTTGAATGTTAGCACAAAGTTTGAAAAGTCAGAGAATTTATGACACTCTGGAATTGTGTTCAGGTGACAATTCCTAATGGCAATTCTTGATGTGCTGAACGTCCTAATGAGGCAAATAAGGTCTAACAAGTCAAGTTCTGAGGTTTTACTACTGGAAGGCTGTCCAAACTTTTGTACATGTCACAAATACTGTTTTTTTTGCTGTGTATTAACATTTGCAGAAAAACAATGTATGTAATGTGGCCAGAGATGCCCAAACTTTTGCATACAACTGTAAATCATAGCACAATTATATTACACGCTATAGTTAGTACATTACTACAGAGTAAATGCATTAGTAAATGGAAAATAGCAATAACTAATCAGTGAAGACAAACACAACATGATCCATGTTGTTTGGATCAGCCATCTGCTGTTCTCAGCAATCCACATGTCTATGAGTGCATGAAGTGGATGAGGTCTTTTGCATAACTAAATGATGCAAGGAAATATTGCACTGTGTGTCCGAATAATGTAAAAATATATGCATTTGTGGGTTTGAGTCCTCAAAAATCAATGGTCACTGGCATGAGAAAAGACTGAAGAAAAAAGCTCCATTTTAAGGAACCTCAAGTTACAGAATGAACCAAAGGAATTATCTACATTGATATGATTAAAGGGGAAATCCTTACATTTTTCATCATTTCTGCATAATTAAATCCTTAAAATGTAAACAAAGTCATTCAGAGTCATTTGATGTGAAATGCTCCATTATAGAGAATCTATAATCAGAATCAGAATTGTTAATGGTGAAGATAGAAACCAGACTCCTGATGAGTTTAATGCCTCTGAAACTCCTTCACAGACAGTTATTACATGAGATGGTTATGAATGCACTGATGTCTGAGACATTGAGACGATATTTTTAAGAAGGTTTTGTCCTAAACTGTATTTTTTAACACATCTGTGGTGGAGGGGAACATGCAGGGCGTTGTAAGGCAAAATAGTACCTAAAGAAAAACATTTTCAGAGTTACTATTTTACCATCATCAACATTACATATGAAAGCTCAGAAGACGTGTATGTTTACTGGTCGTTTTGGATAGTAAATGAAATTTGGATAGTAAATGAATTGTTTCTTGAAATTATTTGACGACTGAACTATGCAAAGTTATAAGTCTATAATATAATATAATATAATATAATATAATATAATATAACAATTAAGTAAACCCACCCATCTTTGGAAGGATCCAACGGAAAGCGACCGGAAATGGTGTGATGTCACATTCCCCACACAGTTATGTTGACAACCGGTAAAGCGGTCAGTCCCACCTTTCCACAGCCAGCCGTTTAATTAAAACTATTCACTGGGAATGGACAGTCATGGTCCCCAGGTAACCTACATGGTTCATTTGCTAAGTAAATATAAGTACCGGTGTAGTTAGCGGTGTTTGGGCTGAAGCTGTAGAGGACCCGTGCTCAGCTCAGTGCTGCTGCTGGATGTGCTGGATGAAGATGATGTTGGTGATGATGGTGATGATGATGGCAGCGCAGCGTCGAGGATGCGAAGCGTTTGGCACTTTTCGGCAACTTAAGCTCCGCTTTCTGTAGCTTCCACAAGCAATAAATAATGCAGCCTGAATGACCTGCAACCGCTTTCGATATGAGTAACTTACACCTTATACAGTTTTCGCAGCTGACAGTTCCTTCGTAGTGACTGTCGTGTTGCTAGCTGCTCAGAGCTAGCAGACTTTTGCTAGCTAGCTAGCAGCGAAAAGCCCTGGCCTTATCCGAAGTAATAAATGGGCTAGTTAACCTAGCTGTGCTCTAGCTCTAGAGGTTTAGATAGCAGCTACCTAGTAGCTTTAGCTGGAGAGAGTTCGTTTGATGATGTTTGTTGTTCCTTGGTCAGTGAAATCAGAGAGTGGTGGTCGGTCTGCTTGGTCACGGGCAGTAATGAACTTTTATCGTTTTAAATTCAGGCCTAATCTAGATCCAGTAACGTCCCGTAACGTACGCTGGGCGAAATAATATAAGATTTTTATTTTCACCGAGAAATCTAGATTTTGCATATTAGCTACGGTTGTTGTCAGTTTCAGCCTTTAAGGCCCATCGTGTGATGCTGTTTTGAAGTGAAGTGTTTGAGAACCACTGGCTTATTAGTGTGGTGGATGAATTTATCTAGCAAAACAATGAACGTTTAGCTTAATAAATTATTGGCACCAAAAGAACTTCAGTACCTGAAGATGGTCAATATGGTGCCTTATAACAGGAGAAGACATTTCAGCTTTACTCACTCTGTGGTAGGATAGAGTTGGGTGGGGCATTCACATTGTATGCTTACTTCAGTGACTTACCAGAATCCATTACTCCTACTACAGATTTGGAGCAAGCTTTGAAGTGATTGGGCTGCTCAAATAGGGTGTTACTAAGGTATATATGGTCCTATTGAAGCCAAGTCACAAATTTTTGTCTTAGTAAATAGTACAAAATACTTGCAAATATTTCAAATTTGTGTATGCTGTCTGTGATTCATGTGTCGGAAATTGTGCCATGGTCTAGTAAAATTATTTTAGAATGTTGTAATAGTTAGAAGTAGAAGTAACACAACATCTGTTTGAACATTATTTTTCAACCACTGGTCAACAGATTACTTAACCAAAAGGGAAAAACCATGTTAAGCTTCTTCTGAAATCTGGGATATTAATGCAAAGTTTGTTCATCCCTGCAGTAAGAGTCTCTACTCTTCTGGAAAGGCCAGATGTTGGAACATTGCTGTGAGGATTTGATTGGCCACAAGAGCATTAATGAGGTTGGTTACTGATGTTGGATGATTAGTACTGGATCACAAATGCCACTCCAACTCATCCCAAAGATATTGGTTGAGGCTCCATCACTCCAGTTTCATGCTCCACAGGCCAAATCTGAAGCTTGGCTTTGGGCACAGTGACCTTAGGCTCATGTACAGCTGCTCCATAGCGTCTCATTCTATTAGTATTACTTTTCTAAGCAGATTATACAAGCTGCATGAGCACAGTTGAACACCTGTGTAAAGTAACTGAATTCACTAATCAAAAGTGTTTTGATACCTTTGGATATAACGTGTTCAATTTTGTTTTTCCACAGCATTTTAAACCACTTTCTGCTTCTTTTTTTGTCTTTTTGCAGATAGAAAGTTAGACACAATCACAGATAATGTCATCAGCCTGTGACGCAGCAGCCTCTGCGGGTGGTGGGGGGAGTTCAGTCATGGAGATGTCGAACTTTGCTCATGTAATCTTCCAGAATGTCGGGAAGAGCTTTCTTCCTCAGGCGGCGCTTGAGTGCCACTACACGCTCACACCGTTTATTACCCCTCACCCTAAAGACTGGGTTGGCATCTTCAAGGTTAGAGCATGTGCACACACTTGCGCACATTTTAGTGACCAGGCTAGTTGTGTTGACTTGTCAAAGGCAACCATAAATAGGCACCCTTTTGAATTGGGGCTATTTAACCCCTTAAATGGCCAGGACCCAAATGGCCAGGGCTGATATTCAATTATTCACTACTGTTACCTAAAAATAACTCAGATAGTTTGCATTGTAGCCCATGTAGTTACCAAATAATAGCCTAAGGATGTAACAAGTCTGGAATAGCTTAAAGGACCAAATTTCAAAATTCATTTTTATATTTGAGATCCAGCAAGTAAAAACCCATTTCCAAGAAAGTTAGGACAGTATGTAAAATGCAAATAAAAACAGAAAGAGGTGATTTGTAAATTCACTTTGACCCACAATTAAACAAAAGAAATAAAAAGACAAGGCAAAGATGTATAATATTTTATCTGTTTTTTGTAACTATACACTCATTCTAAAATTAATGCTTGCAACACATTCCAAAAAAGATTGGATAGGTGCAGTTTATGACTAAAAACATAATAGTTCAGCTGTTGGGCCTCATTCACCAACCGTTCTTAAGAAGACATTTCTTCTCAAAACCCACTTACGCAGTTTTCATGAAGATTCTGACAGACAGCAATGTTTTCTTATTTGGGATTTGTAAGAACGGAATCTACACACCAAGAACACAAAAGTGTGAACAATTCTGCAGTTTAAGAACACGTCATGAATGTGACAGACTTTTTCTTAGGACCTTTCTCAAGAACACAATTAAGAAAAAAACGTAGGAAGATATTGGTGAATTAGGATGTTCCCCAATTCAGGGAATTTGGAAAAATGTCTGTGCATAAAAATCAAGGTCAGAAACCACAACTGCATGCTCGTGACCTTCAACCCCTCGGACTGCATTCCTGCAGCTGTAAATACAAGTTAAAACTGTACTAAAACTGCGCAGTGGAAATCATATGTAAACAATGTCAAGAAATTCTGCCAACTTCTTTGTGCTTGAGCTCATCTGAAATGGTCTGATGCACAGTGGAAACGTGTACTGTGGTTTGACGAGTCAGCCTTTCAGATTGTTCATGGAAACAATGGACAATGTGTTGTCTAGGCCAAAGAAAAGGACATTTTAAGACACGCCCTTGCTTATTTCAGCTAACAATGCCAAGAAACGTTCTGCACATGTTGGAACAGTGTGGCTGGGTAATCAGAGAGTGCAGGTGCTAACAGGTGATCCTGTCTCCTGTTGGAAACATGTTGTGTATTATGAAGTGCAAAATATAAAAACAAAGGCCCCATATGGTTGCGTAACTGAAGAACAGCAAAAAATTCTGCTTTCAAAACTTTTTTCAGTTGGTGTCTTCAGTCCCCACGTGTTTATTAAGTGCTGTTAAAAATAAAGATGGTGGTAAACATGCTCCTGTTCCAACTTTTTTGGAATGTGTTGCAGGCATCAAATTTGGAATGAGTATATATTTACAAAAAAAATATATATATGTTCATGAGGTAAAACATCAAATATTGTGTTTTTGTTCTGTTTTCAATTACAGGTTAAACAGGATTTACAAATTTTTTCTTTTTATTGGCATTTCACATTGTCTCAACTTTTTTGAAATTGTGTTTGGGTGGTAAAACTCAAAACTTAATTTGATATCCCTGATAAAGGAAAACTCCTGTTTACATGCAAGGTGTCCTTAAGAGCCCAAGAGCTTAACAGTAGCTAGAAAACAGTCAAATAAGCCTAGTTAGTTATAGAAACCTTAATTGATAGTTGATATTGCTAACTAACATGACATCACACCAGAGAGAATTTATTTTGCATTGTAACCTTTTTTTGTTAATGTACATTGTTAACAATGTAGGCTTGTAAACATAACAGTTTAGGCTCAAAAATTATACATTCAGAAATAAGCAAGCAAATTTTGGCAAATCCTTTAAACCAACAGCTGACTGTCATTAATAGGCAATTAATTGTTAACCAGCATACCTAAAATCAAAGACGTGACCCATCAGAATAAAATAAAATGGGTAGTTTCGGCTCTGAAATCTGATTGCCTGAGCCACGTTCAAACCCATGGTAAAAAACTTGATATGCACACAAATATGTACACACATCACCTGAATTCTGTATTAATGTACCAAGATATTAAGAAGTGTTCTATGTATGGTCCATGAAACATAGTACTGATAGGTGGGGCCAGGCATAAGCCTGTTAATGAAGTAAATGACTAAATAGTTGTCAATTGCGAAAGTTTGAATTTGATGTGATACATTGTTGTTGTGCTATCATCCTCTCAAAAAAATATCCTTGTACACTGCTATATTTAGCTGCATGCTTCTTTTTTGCGTTGGCCTATTTCAGTGGTCTCCAACCCCGGTCCTGGAGAGCTACCTTCCTGCAGAGTTTAGTTCCAACCAGTATCTCATAAACTGCCCTGCCCCTTACCTAGTTCTAATACATCTGACACAGCCAGGCAGGGGCTCAGAGCAGCTGGAGCAGGTGTGGCAAACTGTGGTTGGAACTAGGCTCTGCTGGAAAGTAGCTTTCCAGGATCACGGTTGGAGACCACTGGCTTATTTAGTGAAATCAGGTGCCTGTTGAACCCTCATGTGTACAGTTCAAAAATGTTTGACTTGAATGATAAACCTGCCTGTGCAGTTGTTCAGTTCAGTTGTTGTTTGTTGGAAGTGAAAAAAAATGAAGAAATGTTTTTCAACTGATAGCATTGGTTGAACAGTTGTTTGTTGATTAGTGGTTAATTATTTACATATCTATTCAGAATTATGTGTAAAAATACCTGGTAGATGTTTCCACATATTCAAAATGAGGTGTTACATAAAATGAATAAATCATAGGATATTTAGCACAATATTAATTAATGATAAAAAGCCCTTTGTCTGCTAGACAAGAACAAAGTTGAAGTTGTCCCCAGTCTAGGGTTGGGTGGTATCCCCTTTTTTAATATCCTTAAACCTATATTACCACAGTATGCAGTATTACCAAGGATGGGGGTGGTTGGGGTGTCGTAAGTGATGTTAAAGCATTAATGACACTTTTGCCATCCCGTCTTGTGTTATTTCAAATGAAATTAATCAAAAAGAATAGATTTTTAAGACCTCATCCAACAAATGGCAAACCATCTATTTTTATTAACAGCTAATAATTGCTCCGAACTATTAGAGAGAAGTTGGTTAGCATTAGCTTAGCATGACAAAAGCTCTGCTCACCACAGGACATGTTTGATTCTGACCGACACCGACACAAGTTTAGATTATAAAGATTCAAATCTGAGGGAGTGAAGTTGAGCAACCGAGCAATAGTGAGCAGGCTACAGACCCACACCACAGTACATGTCTGATTCTGACTAACTGCTGCTTTGTCGAAATAAGTGTAGATTAAATCAAACATATTTTGTGATATTTGGGAAAATAGCATTTAGGCTAAGCTAATGAGAGCTAGAGGCCAAATGTACCAAATATCAAAGCACAGTTTTGGTTCCAGCTAGCTGATGGTAAAATCACACCCGTTTAGACAATATCTGGGAGTGCAACAGCGACAGAAGGCCAAAATTGAAGTGACTAACTGATGCTAAAATGACAGCTGAGAGTGCAAAGTCTGGTGACTGGTGTTAGAGTGAAAGCCAAAATTGAACATGTTCTGTGGTGCATGTAGCTCTTTTAGCCACTTAGTTTTCCTGAGGTTTTTCCCTTCTTTCTAACAGCACCACCTATTGGTGAGCACCTACACCACCAATCAGTGAGCCCCTCTAAAATGTAAATAGGTGGAGTGTGTTTATTGGACATGGAATATAAATTTGTTGTGATTTTTAAACACTGCAACATAACTTATTATTGTTATACTGCCCCAACCCTAGCCCAGTACAAAAATATTATGTGGATATAATGTATGGTTTTTGTTCCTACTTTTTCCTGAGTGTAGTGTTATTATCCACAAGCTATGCTTGTTCACATACAAAGTCATACAGACAACACCTACCACACACACTCTTTCCTTAAACATGACTCAGCTACTAGAAGTACACATACACATGCACACACTTAAATGATCTTCCATCCTGCAAACATAATTACAGATCTCTAAGCAATACAGCTGGCAATGCATTTTTGTGTAAAGTTGTGAAACTTCAAGTTTTTGATCTCCCCCCGCCCTTCGTTCTCGCATTAGCTCTCCCTCTCGTTTGTGCTTTCATAATGGCATTTAATTTCACAGTTAATTAAGAGGAAATAGATGAGTGGAAACTTAACATGTTGTTAAGTTAAAGAGAGACAGTTTATAGACAGTTTAAAACTCACTTCAAATCAACCAGATCTGTCAGATTTGGGAAAAGAGCAGAAGTTAATAGGGAAAAAGTGGATTGGAAATAGATGGTTAATCCACTCAGTATTATTCTTTTGATGGTTAGCTCTGAGCTGGTTCAGTGAGGCTACAGTTTGTGCTTTTCTAGCTGTATGCATGGGGGCTTTTGCCCTGATTGATAACTGAGAGTGAGAAGCCGTGCAAACAAGGCAGCAGAATTCTCTTGTCAAGTCTGTGACATAGACTCCATTTTTGTAGTTGCTTCTTTTTCTTGTTTTCCTCCTTATCCATATTACCTTCCCCCCTCCATTGCTTGCCTCTTTATATATGTAGTATGTTTAATCCAGCTACCTCTTGCTTTATATAAAACGTCCTTTGTTTTAACGTGTTTGTTCTATGATTGTAGCATTCATGAGCATATTAGTACTAATTCAGGGGGGAAAGGTGGGTTATATGTCCCTGCACGTGTCTCCTGAGCTGTACCAAATAGAAGTCTCTAACTGCGTAACTAACTTTTGCACATCTTTTTATTTGTATCCACAATTTTTCATGAAAAAATTACAGGAGCATTAGCTTCTTATAAAAAGTCTACTGTCTTAGCATACTTACAACAGAGAAGGCATTTCTGGTCTATTATCATTATTAGACTTAAAAATAGATATATGACTTCATTTACAAGCCTTAAAGTGAT